AATGAGCACTGGTGGAGGGATGGGTGTTTGATCATTGTGTGATTGTAACCCAAACATGAAAACTTGTAATTATCTTACGGTGATTTAATAAAATTTAAATAACTAAATAAAGCTATGTATATAGAAAAAAATTTTTATAAGTGTTCTGTTAAAGTCACTGGGTAGCAAATAAATTCATGGAAAATACATGCAAACAAAATTGTTTCATAAAATTGTACTGCAAGTTTAATATTCTATTACTAATCATTAGAATGTTAATAGATGATGTTTTGTATAACTGATTTTGGCACTTGCACAAGTTTAATTTAATTTTCCTGATAAAAATCTCTCTGAAAAAGTCTATTTACATACGTCTTTCCACAAATTTATATGACTATTTGCACAAAGAAATAATTTTATAAAGATTTTTTCTTTGCAGCTGTCTAAATATACCAACCACCTACAGTGAAATGAAACATCATAAGCTATCTGAATTGGTGTTTTGAAATCAGGAGTTTGATAAACATTGAAAACAAAGATTGTCATTAAATCATATGCGAGATGGGAAAGGGATTTATATGCTAAGTAAGTGAACTTTTAGAGTTTGTATAACAAGATTTATTTTATACTAATAAAGTTAGAATTAAGGCATATTAGAACGGTTTTGATGTGTATATATGTGTGTATGTATATACATGTGTATACATGTTTGATTTTAAATATAATCATAGGGTGTGATGATGTTGCTATCTGTGTCCACAGGAAAAAAGTGAAAAACAAAAAATTGTAACCAGAAGGTCTAAGAATCTGAAAAATCTCCAATAGATAAGAAAATTATTTCAGGAAACCCCAGTGGTTGAAAAGTTTTCTAAAGGAAGATGAGTAAAATCCTTTTAAAATGTATAAGCACTGTAGCACTGTCCTCTCGTTGTTCATTGATTTGCTTGAGCGGGCACCAGTAACGTCTCACAACAAATTGTGAGACTTGTTGTTGCTGTTTTTGGCATATGAAATATGCTACAGGGAGCTTGCCAGGCTTTGCTATGAGGGCGGGATACTCTTGGTAACTTTCTGGGCTCTCCGAGAGGGACGGAGGACTCAAACCTGGGGTTGGCCACATGCAAGGCAAACACCCTACCTGCTGTGCTATCGCTCCAGCCTTATAATGTATAATATATTAGGTTAGATCTAATCTAATCTAATAATATATTAGATAAAAATTTATTATAGAAACATCCAGTAACAAAGTTCTTTTATGATGTTACTTTCATATCATCTCTAAAGTTCACTGAAAACTTTGATAACTCTCTTAGAAATAGCGTCTTAGATACATCTCAGCAGTAGAGCACTTGTCTCACATATGTAATACCATGGGTTTAATCTGTAGCACTGCAAACATACAAACTCTATTAAAAATAATCTCAGAGATACAACCCACACTGGTGTTTGAAGATGTGGTAGAGAACATTGTTCTTTCTCTAAAACAAACTCAATTACTCTGTGGTTCTTGAAACCACTTCTTCTATTTTAGAAGGGTCAAGGATACAAGGGTTTTGAATGAGACACCACCAAAAGATAAATATCAGCTGACACAAAATATTATTCAACATATGTTTGCATGAGAATTGTCTATCTATAATTGGGGAGTCTGAGAAAAATTGATTTTTTTTTTAAAATTTGATGAATAGCAGCCAGTTAAGTTTATTGAAGTTGTCAGCATTTTACTGCTTCATTTAAATGAAGATTTTCTTTTTTTATATATATTTAAAAACTCCCAGTAGACATTTTGGTTTTGAAAAAATGTCCACAATACTATTGTACAGTAGAGCAGTAGAGGTCTGGGAGGTAATAGGTAAATTGCCTTAGTTTAAATTGCTATTACAATAATGTCTCATTATCACCAGAGCTACCCTGGGGATTGTTATTATTGACTGAAAGCAGGTCTCTCATCACTGGAGAGAACTTATTTTCAGCTCTGACAAAAGCCACAGGAAATAAAAATGATTTTTGAACATTTGGGGGAAATGAAGAAGTAGGTGGTAACTGACTTAAGTAAAAGAAAGTGAGTGCGTGGCTATATCCTCTGTCAAAGACAATGTGCCCAGATGGTAGGAACTGTGATATATGTTATGGATAATTCTTTACTTAGCTGACCCAACCCAATGGAGGGCATTTATATGGGTATCATTTCTAATAAAGTCATGTAGTAATTATGAGCCACAGATGATGCTTCTCAGCAATATTCACTCTTATTCTTCTTGGACATAATGTGCTCAGTGAAGACAAGGTCATCTCAAGAGAATATTTAGAAAATATATGGAAGCATTTTTTCCCCAATAATAGGGAGAACGACTGCTGTCTAGGTATTCTTCAAATTTTTAAAGTCATGTTCAAACCGTTAGTTTTTTTTTCTAAATGGCCAATCATTTATATAATTTAAAAGCTATGTAATGACCCAAAGTCTAATTCTGAAAGATTATAAAACTAAAGTGTTTTTTTTCTTGCATAGCTTTGAATTTTACTGAGTATTTAAAGAATGTAATAACTGTGTATAATAAAAGAAAGCTAGATTTATTATCTTTTGAAATTTATTAAGGGTTGTTCACCATTTTGTAAAATATAACCAATAGCATTCACATGTCAAATATTTGACTCACAATTAAACATTACCTGCAAACTAGTCCTATTTGAAGCTATTTTATTGTTAGTTACTGATAGGCATAGTATTTTATTATAACCATTTGAAAATTTTTTCCTCCTTTCAAAAGTTAGGAAATGTATTTTGCATTTACTAGAAAATATCTTGCTAAATCAATTGAATGTTTATGTTTTTCTGTTCTTTCCAGTTTTCCTTTCTTTTCCTTCTTTAGTTCCAACCTACATTTTGATTACTTGACTTATGAGTTCTGCATTTCGCTAATGACATTTTACCTTTGTTTTGGATTTTATTATACTATTCTTATGGAAGCTGTCAAAGTCCTTATTTGAATGTGTTTCTAAGACTTTCTATTAAAAACATTGCAATAATATACTTATATCTCTCCTCTTTTGTACCTTGAATCGTTATGTCGTGCATTTTATTTATATTTATTTATAAATCTCACAATGTAGCACTGTGCACTGTCCTCCCATTGTTCATCGATTTGCTTGAGTAGGTACCAGTAATGTCTCCATTGTGAGACTTGTTACTGTTTTTGGCATATCGAATATGCCACGAGGAGCATGCCAGGCTCTGCTGTGCGGGTAGGATACTCTCTGTAGCTTGCCGGGCTCTTTCCTAGGGACAATATCTCACAATACATCCTAATCTCACAATACACCATAATTATTACTTTTTGGTTATTACTTTAACTTTGTTTTTATAGACTTTGGGGGCACATCTACTTATTCTTTACGTATTATACTTTACTTAAAGTATATTTGATAATTTAATATATGTATGTGAAATTATAACTGCAATATGCAATTAAAATTTAATCTGCAATTAAACTGTATTTAAAATTTTTAATTGAGGCACCCTGACTTACAATATTGTTAATGATGGACTGGAGCAATAGGAGAGCGGGTAGGGCATTTGCCTTGAATGCAGACGACCTGGGTTCAATTTCTCCGTCCCTCTCGGAAAGCCTGGCAAGAGTATCTCGCCTGCACATCAGAGCCTGGCAAGCTCCCCGTGGCATATTCGATATGACCAAAACAGTAACAACAAGTCTCACAATGGAGATGTTACTGGTGCCCGCTTGAGCAAATCGATGAACAATGGCAGGACAGTGCTACAGTGCAGTTAATGATAGGGTTTCTTGCATATCCTGTTCCCAGAACCATACCCTCCATCAGTATTGCTTTCCTCTACCACTGACTAAACGTTTCCCTTCACTAATATTTCCCCTCTTCCCACCCTGGCCCCAGCACTGTATGCTTTTACTCTGTAAACTGTTTTCACATTGTTGCCCCTGGCCATTTGTTATTTTCTGTCTAAGTTTCTTCATGAAGGTACCAGCAGAGGAACAAAGGCACGCGGGTCCTGAGATCTCCAAGCCTACTCGGATCGGGGCTGAGCATCCTCCACCAGATCCTCCAAATTCCAGTAGGTGGGGGTCACACCCACCAACTGGTCCCCTGGCACCGTGTAATCCCATCAATGGCCAAGACCCAGAGACTGTAAAATCCAGCTCCTGGAAGCACACGACCGCAAATGCGGCCACGCAACATCTTATTATCTCATTCCTACTTTGGACATACTGGCAGGCTACCGAATGTAACCTGCCCACACGGCAGAGTCTGGCAAACTCCCCGTGGCATACCCAATATGCCAAATACCAGCAACAATGATGGGTCTCATTCTCCTAAAGAGCCTGGAATATGACACTTTCTTAAAAATCTCAGGGCTAGGATGAAGGAGACGTTACTGGGGCCTTCTCGAGGCAATCAACAAATAACAGGATGGTCGTGATCGTGATCGTGATCGTTTCTTCATATCATACATAAGTGAGACACATCATTGTGTGCCTGTCTCTCTTAGTGTGACACTAAGCATGACACTTTTCATATCTATCCTATGTAGTGGCAAACTGCCACTTCCCTTTAACCAACTCCAGCCCCCATTGACTAAGATTTTTGTTTCGTTTTGTTTGGGACTCACACCCAGATGTGTTCAGGGCTTTCTCCTGGTTCTGTGATTAAGGACCACTTCTGGCAGGCTCTATGAACTCTATCGTGTTCTGGGGGGGGGGGGGGGGCGGGTGGAACCGGATCTGATGCGAGCAAGGAAAGAGCCCTACCTGCGGTACTCTCTCTCTCTGGCCCCTGTTGATTTAAGTTTCAAAGAAAGCTTACAGTTATGGTCCAGGATGAGCAACTTAAGTTTTATTGCAATCTAAATATTGTAAGACAACATTTAATTAAATTTTCAAGCTAACTGCTAATGACTTAAAAATGTAGCTTCTAAGAAAAAAAATTTAACTTGAACATGCCTAAACTATTTCTAAGACAGGGCACATTCTTTTTTTAATTGGCTTAGTGTTCCATTTATTGACAAAGTTATAGGTTATCACCAATTGGATAAGAAATACGTTCTCTTTCAAAGAGATCGGATGGGGCCACTCCTGATTATTTCTTCTGTTTTTTCTTTTTCCTCTGTGCATCAGACTGGAGCTTCTTTTCTGTCTCTGCCCGCATGGCTGCTTCTTGTGCAGCTAATTCTTCCAACCTTAGGCGCTCAGCTTCCAATAGCTTGTTTCGGTATTCTTCCCGAATGCTGAAGACCTTTTGCCGGTAATCATCTAAGGCCTCCTAATGTAAAGCAAAAACCCAAACATGTAATCATGTCCACTGATCCAGGTTTCTATTGCCATACAATATGCAAATTTTATGCCAATAGATTCATGTGGGAAAATTATTGAGGACTGATGAAAATCAGGTTTTCGTCAAGTGTGTTTATCAACACATAAGATATAAGCAAAAAGGGTACATAATATTGTCACATAATGGAAAATAGAAGAATAAAAAGAGAAAGAAGAAATAATAGAGATGTTGAAAAAGCCACTATCTGCTTTAAATTCATTTAAACATTTGTTACAAAGATACACAGCCCTATGTATCCCAATATTAATTGTGATCAATAGAAGTCACTACACATAGTTGAGCCCTAACAAACTATATCTAAAATAAAATTGAAAAATATTCAAATAACACTTAACCAATTTGTCATCTTTATTATAGTCAATTTGAACTTTATTCTTCCTTCTAAAAATATTAAACACAAAACCCACAAACCCATCTCCCTAAGATACTCCCAAATTTATAAAGAGCAAAACAAAACAAACAAATCAAAATATAAAACCTATAAACCCACCCTTCCCAAAACAACCTCAAATTTATAAAGGACATTGAAATATGTAGTTAAACATCTTAATAAATAATTTTAATTCCAAAAAAATTCTTTGGTGCTCTTCTTTATCATATTTTTTCCTCCTGAATTAACTGACTTGAATTCCTAGTTATATTCACATCATTCTTATAACTTATTTAACTTTTCTTGCCAGTCCCTTCACTGCTTCATTGTTTTCTTCTTCTTATATAGAAATGGCAATGTCTTCAACCTTGGTGATTTCACCCAGTACAATGGCTTTTAATTCCAAATCTAGCTAGGTGCTAGAGTCTCCTCCAAATTACAGAATTATACATCTAATTTCTATTCAACATTTCCACATGGCTAGCTAACTGATATATTAAAATGTCTATTTTAATAAATAAATATCAGGGTGTCCAAAACTGAAATTCTCATCTTTCCTCAATATTTCAAATGTAACAGCAACTGAAACAGCTCAATTGTTTGGGGTAAATAGCACAGCAGGTAAAGCATTTGCCTTGCACAAGGCCAACGTGGCCAACCCGGGTTTGATTCCTCCGCCCCTCTCAGAGAGCCCAGCAAGCTACTGAGAGTATCTCCCCCGCATAGCAAAGCCTGGCAAGCTCCCTGTGACATATTTAATATGCCAAAAACAGTAACAACAAGTCTCAAAATTTGTTGTGAGATGTTACTAGTGCCCGCTCGAGCAAATCAATGAAAAACGCTAGGACAGTGCTACAGTGCAAAGTATCCAAGTAAAAATTCTTTGACTCCTTTTTTTCATATTATACTAATAATCTGGAAATGCAATTGATGAAACTTTCCAAATCTATAGACCATTCAGTTGTTTCTCATCACCTTCACCTTACCTAGGTGTGAACCATCATCCTCTCTTCACTTCACCTAGTACAATGCCTTTTAATTCCATCCTTTTACTCAAAGCAATTCAGTTAGGCACTACTTAATAATGGAGACATAAGGGTTGCAGTGATAGTACAGTGGGTAGGGCATTAGACTTTTATCCAAGTGACCTGGGCTTGATATCCCCTGAGTCTGCCAAGTGTAATACCTCAGTGCAGAGTCAGGAGTAATCCCTGAACACAGTCAAGTATGGTCCAAACATAGCAATAACTAAATAATAATGGAGACATATTCTAAAGAATGAGAGTTTAACTAAGTTAGCGCAGCATGAAGGCAACATTAGCGGTAGAGTTTGTAAGTTTAGAAGCTTTAATAAACAAAATTTGAGATTAAATCAAGCGTAAGTGAAGGTTAACAGTTATAAACTCCAGGTGTTTGAGACTGCTGCTGGAGTAAAGCACTATGATATCATGAAAGGGTTGTCTACATGTCACTAGTCAAGAAAAATTTTTGAATCACTATTGCATAAATGGACCATCCTTGACCAAAAACATCACTATGTGGCACTTGATTGTTGTCTCATTACAGACTTCTATTTTTGTTGTTTGGGGGTTACACCCAGTAGTGCTCTGGGCTTATTCCTGGTTCTGTGCTCAGAAGTGACTAGTGGCATGGCTCAAGGCACCGCCTGCAGTGCTGGGATTTGAACCTGGGTCAGCTGCAGCAAAGCAAATACCCTACCAGCTTTACTATTGCTCTGGCTCATGATCTATACTTTTTATGTACCTCTCTATATATTCATCTGTTCAACACACAGTTTTTAGAACAACTGAAACTACATTTGACATGTATTATTTTAAAATTCATTTAATTATTAATTCATAAACTCATATATAAAATAAAATTCTTGAAGCAAACACACTTCAAAATTATCAGGATTTAATTATGAATCAAAATTAATTTTCTGTTCATCTATAGTTTCGATTCTAGTGAAAATATTTTCAAATTTTCATGCTGATGCACCTTATATAATAATTAATGGAAAACACCTCTAATTAAGAATGTTTTACCCAGCTAGGCTATCACTCATATTTAAAAGAGGAATAAAAAGAGCTTTTCAGACAAATAATAACCAAATGAATCACTTTTAAACTTGCCTCAGGAAATAATTCTGAGAATTTTAACAGAAGGAAAAGAAATCTCATTTGTAAAGCACCAGGATACTTTTAAAAATTACAAAAAGTGTGCTCCTGGGGCCTGGATTCAATGTGAACTATAATAATTTTAATGGCATTAAAAATAGAACAAATGCTCCGAATGGCAAAAAAGCATATGAGAAAATGCTCTACATCATTAATCATCAGGGAGATGCAGATCAAAACCACAATGAGATACCATCTCACACCTCAGAGACTGGCCCACATTCAAAAGAACAAAAGCAACCGATGCTGGCGTGGATGTGGCGAGAAAGGGACACTCCTTCACTGTTGGTGGGAATGTCCACTGGTTCAGCCCTTCTGGAAAACAGTATGGACAATTCTCAAAAAATTAGAAATTGAGCTCCCATTTGACCCAGCAATACCACTCCTGGGAATATATCCCAGAGAGGCAAAAATGTATAGTCGAAGTGACATCTGCACTTGTTTGTTCATTGCAGCACTCTTTACAATAGCCAGAAACTGGAAGAAACCTGAATGCCCAAGAACAGATGACTGGTTAAAGAAACTTTGGTACATCTACACAATGGAGTACTATGTAGCTGTTAGAAAAGATGAAGTCATGAAATTTACATACAAGTGGTACAATATGGAAAGTATCATGCTAAGCGAAATGAGTCAGAAAGAGAGGGATAGACATAGAAAGATTGCATTCATCTGGGGGATATAAAGTAACAAAGTATGAGATTAATACCCAAGAATAGCTGAGATCAGCACCAGGAGGATTACTCCATAACTTAGAGGCCAGCCGGGTATCCTAGAGGAAAGGGCAGTTCAGATAGGGAAGGGAGCACTAAATAAAGGATGTTTGGAGGATCCTCCCAGGAGGGGAGATGCATGTCGAAAGTAGACTATGTACTGAACATGTTTGCCACTCAATGCCTCTTTTGCAGACCACAACACCCAAAAGGAGAGAGAGAACACAGGGGATTGCCCTGCCACAGAGACAGGGGGGTTGGGGGGATGGGGGTGGGAGGGATTTTATCCATGGTGGTGGAAAATGGGCACTGGTGGTGGGATGGGTATCTGATCATTGTATAATTGAAACCAAAGCACAAAAAATTGTAAATCTACAACTGTAAAAAAAATAAAATAAAATAAAGGGAAAAAAATAATAATAATTGAAAAAAAAATAGAACAAATGTTACAGAAATTTGTATGGAAGAACAAAAAAATTCCAAATATCCAAGGTAATCCTGAGAAAAATAGGAACAGAGACATCATGATGGCTCATCAACCTCTAACTATGTTACAGAGTACAGCAATAGTGGTAACAACATCAAGGAATTCAGAATCAAAACAATAAAGCCAATAAAATAAAAATCCTGAGTCCAGAAATAAATCTACTACATGATTCTATATTTTTGCTTTCAATAATACATACTTCCCAACTGTGATTAGTCTAATTTCTTTTAGACTCACCCGCATGCTTACATACATCTCCAGGACTTCACTGTTTTTTCTACCCCGTTGCTCTTGGTCAGTATCTCGAACACTAATTACTCTGTCCCTGTACTGTCGGAACTGGTGAACCTCTTCTGATTTTTCCATTGCATACTGCTGATTGAGCTCTTCTGTTTGCAGTATAGAATCAGCATCTGTTTTCCTTCGTATAAAACATGGAAATAAATTATTTGAGGAAGTCTTGGATAAATTCTATTTTAGAACCAAACTTAAAATTATTTTAACAGTTCCTAAGTCACATAAAATACAAACCAAATAAAATAGAAAACAAGAACAAAATCGTATCAAAATAATAAAGCCAAATAAAATTTAAGTCTAAATAAAATAAAATATGAGGAATACTAAGAATAATTTTAAGTGGGGAAAAAAGAAGCCCTTATATATTATTTTTGGGAATGTAAATTGCTTCTGTCTCTACGGAAATCAGTATGAAAATTTCTCAGAATATTAAAAATGTATATTAAAAATGCAATTTCACTGCATTGTCAGGCACTAATATCAAATCATTTGACCTGGTTGGCAAATCACCTGCTGGGATTGACCTCTGAACCCCCAAAGCACCGCTAAGAGGCACAACAAATAAAGGGGTAATGTACAGGGAGAGAGATGAGAAAGAGAGCAAGGGTGGAAGAAAGAGGGAATGAGGAGAGAAGGAAGAGGCTAAGGATGAAGAAAGAAAGAAAGAAAGAAAGAAAGAAAGAAAGAAAGAAAGAAAGAAAGAAGAAAGAGAGAAAGAAGAAAGAGAGAGAGAGGGAGAGAAGGAGGGAGGGAAAGAGGGAGGGAGGGAAGGAAAGAGGGAGGGAGGGAAAGAGGGGCAGATAGTTGGATGTATACACAACGGAATATAGAGTACTATTCAGCCATCTTCCAGTAGGTAGGCATCACACCCACCAACTGCCCCTGGCGCCATGTAATTTCATCAACGGCCAAGACCCATATACCATATTATATAACATTTAAATTTTTTAATATTGCCTTAAAATTTTTGTTAAATTTGATAGAAAACTATGTTTTGAAAAGTTTAGATATTTTGGAGGTATACTAAATATTTGATTTTAAGTATTCAATGGTTTTACAACCACTTATTCGTACTATATCCGAAATTCTTCTAGTGTCGATATCAATGTTAGTTAAAAAGTAAAGTAAAGGCCCTCCCGTTGATCATTGATTTGCTCGAGCGGGCCCAGTAACGTCTCCATTGGAGACTTTGTTGTGACTGTGTCTGGCATATCAAATACATCATGGGGAGCTTGCCAGGCTCTGCCGTGCATGCGTGATACTCTGGGTAGCTTGCCGGGCTCTCTGAGAGGGGTGGAGGAATCGAACTCGGGTCGGCCATGTCGGCTGCATGCAAGGCAAACGCCCTACCGGTGTGCTATTGCTCCAGGCAAACTCACCTTACATACTGACTTAAGTCTACTTTTTCTAGCTCTTTATGAATAAGCTGTGGTGTAAATTCTATTGTTGGGGATCGTCCAGGAAGCCCTGTTTACAAAGAGAAAACAGATCAATTCTAAGCTTTCAAAAGGAATCAACAAAAACATCAAATGATTATGTTTATATCTCATTGTTCTTGAAAATAGTTTTTGTAATTGAAACCATTTTCTGTTTGAAAACATTGCATGGGATTTCCAATTTTACTACAATTTTAATGTAAATATGTATATGGAATAAATAAAAATGATATTAGACATAACAGCACACTTTAAGATATTTTCAGTCTAGTAAAGTTTATATGTAAACACTAAAAGTCAAAATAGATGGAGATTTTTATGCCATAAACTAATAGTGAACCAAACAAGAATTGAATTTTGTTTTGTTTTGCTTTGTTGGGGGAGCGGGGGAGGTGTCACACCTGGAAGGTGGTGCTGAGAGCTAATTCCTGGCTCTGAGCTTAGGGATCACCTGGCAGGGCTCAGGAAACCTCATGCAGTGGTACAGATGGAATCTCGTCCACTGTATGCAAAGCAAGCACTATACTATCACTGGGGCCCAAGATCCGATTTTTGTAAGATTTTTGTAAATGATTTTGAATCTAATATAGTAATCATTCAGTTTTTCTAGATCTTTTAAAAAATATTATGAGCAGTCTCCATGTTGACTCATTCACCTGCCCTGCTCTACTGACTCACAACTAAATCTCTGAGGAGATTCAAGCCAAACAGCTAAAATTCATGGGAAAACTTGGTCTCCTCTCTGTAAAAATTCTGCAGTGAACCATAGGATAGGGGTGGGCCAGGTACTCACCCAGCCAAAGTTCCGGCAGCTGTACGCACACCCCACTGCTGCAGCCATCTCAAGCACTTAGTTTTACAGCGTCACTAATACTCTCCAGAGACCGCGAAAATTTTCAGGTACCCTGGGGTTTACGTGGAAAACTCTGTGGTTTTCTTGGAGTTGGGGCCAGCAGCCTCCCCCCACTCTACTTTCGGAAACCATGGCAACCACGCCCACCTCCCACGTCCACTGCCATGTCAACTCATTGGTCCAGACCATAGATCCTGAAGTCTCTGAACACCTCCTAATTACATAAAACTGAAGTTCCAATGGGAACACAGCAAATGAGATGAAAAAGTAGCAAAAAAAGCCACTAAACTCAGCAAACAAAAACATAAAAAAATCAGAAGTCTCGACTAGCAATAAAACAGCGTAGTAAATCCTTAGACATAGACATAACAACCTTCTGGCAAAGCACCAATTTTCACATTAAAAACTTGATTTTTTAATCTTTCAATTTTAATATTGAAACGTTGTTCTCTAATCAATTTTGATTCTAGAATCATACAACAGTTGTGGCTTTGTCTACATTAAAAATAATTTTTAAAAGTCTTTTAAAACCACTTAAGTATAATGTAGATACCCTAAACTTTACCCATTTTGAGAATATAATTCATAGTTTAAGCACATTTATAGTTGTTAAATCAACACAAAATCCCATTTTCAAACATTTTTATCATCCAAATAAGATATCTTCTGTTCCTTTAAAGCTACTTTCTGCCCCTACCACAAGCTGTAGGCAAATATTTGTTTGTCTCTATAATTTTGCCTAACTTGTATTTTTCATATAAGTTTATGTAGTAAACTTGTGCTGAGTTATGAAGTAAAATTGTGCTTAATTTTTGGGAAACGTTCAACTCATAGTATCTCACTTATTGTTATATTAACAATAAATTCTAAAATGTTAAAAGTAAAAACTTTCCATTAGTTTTTTTTGTGACAGATATTGAATTGTAATGCTGCTTTGCATTTCATATAAAAAAATCTATTTATTAAGTATTTTTTCAGTATTCCACCATTCAGATTGATTTTTATAAGCAGCAACTTGACTGAGTAGAAAATTATATTTCTGGTAAATTCATGTTTATGCTTTCTTACATACCATGAAAAACTACAGTAGAATATGACATATTAAGCATTAAGTACAATAAAAATCATGTATTTAAATAAAGAGGCCCAACAAGAGTCCAAAGAAGGTGAAAATTTACGTTCAACTACAAACCAGACTGGGATATGATGGTCTTGGACTAAATATCTGTGGACATTTCAGTTGGTAAGCAGGCGTTCTATGGAAGTGTTTCTTCTGGGGTGGGGAGGTGGACAGCACACCCAGCAATGTTCAGGGGTTCCTCTAGGAACTGCACTCAGGAATAACTCCTGGCAGTGCTCTGGGGCTTATGTGAGATACTAGAGGTAGACAAGGTTGGTCAACATGTCAGGCCAGTGTTTTATCTGCGGCACCATCTCTCTGGGCCAATAGCAATGTTTCTTAACCATTATCCAACTGTGTCCCCTTCCTGCCTTTCTTTCCTTCCTTTGTGACTTCCTGTCCCACTAGTTGACTTTTTAGTCCCATGCAATGGCTCCTATCACCTATGACCCCTTGGAATAGTTTAAGGACCCCTTCTCCCACAGGAAGTCATATGATCCCTATTTGAAAAATGCTGCTCTACGGAGTTAGTTCTAACAGAGTGTGAATTTAGAAATATTTTGCAACAGTTTTCCACTAGAGAATAATTTCATTAGCTTTTATGAAAGTTGCAGTTTGTGACAGATGTGAAAATTGTAGAACCCTTGTTCATAGGTAGAATGAGAATCACTGTTTCAAAGATACAGTGAGGAATAAGACAGCTATGAAACCTGGCAAAGGAAGGTTGAAAATGGAGACAAAACCTCCCCCCCCTTAGAAGATGCATTTTCCAGATTTTCCTCAGCTGTCAAAAGGAAGTTGAAAGCAGTATGTTAATTCTTTGTTTTTTGTTGATGACTTGGTTTAGGGATGAAATCTGTAATGAAATGATCAGCTTCTTTTCTGACATCATGAAGAAAGGTGTTCTTAGTTCCTTATTATATGAAAGCAGGATGTAGTAAGAAGTAATTTGAGGAAAGAGAGGGAGTCACAAATAATTAGGACAATGCAGGGTTTAGAGCATATAAAGCTCTGAAAGTATTTTTAATATTTTTATAAGGAAATTTATTTTATTTATTTATTTTTTGCTTTTTGGGTCACACCCAGCGATCTACAGGGGTTACTTCTGGCTCATGGACTCAGGAATTACTCCTAGTGGTGCTCGGGGGACCATATGGGATGCTGGAAATCGAACCCACGTAGGCCACATGCAAGGCAAACGCCCTACCTGCTGTGCTATTGTTCCAGCTCCTCTGAAAGCATTTTTAATCTCTCAGGGGCATGCTTCTCTAGGAGAGAGGACAATTGTGATGCACTCACAGCTGGAGAGGAAGCAAAAGACAGGGTTCCAGAAAGCAATGACACTCAGGCCATTGATCCTCATGCAAGATTCTACAACCACAATACCTAGGGGTACATATGATATTGAGTGCTACCTGATGGTCTAGAACTACGGAATGATGGACCTGTTCTTGGAGATAAGCTGTACTTGATATCTGTGTAGAATTCACTTTATCATGCTTAAGAAATGTCAAAAACTTCTTTAACATTTTTAAAGAATTTTCTTTTCCTGGAACGATAGCACAGCGGTAGGGCATTTGCCTTGCACGCAGCCAGCCCAGCTGAGCTGGATTCGATTCCTCTGCCTCTCTCAGAGAGCCCAGCAAGCTACCGAGTGTATCTTGTCCGCATGGCAAAGCCTGGCAAGCTACCCATGATGTATTTAATATGCCACACACAGTAACAACAAGTCTCATGATGGAGACGTTACTGGGCCCGTTCGAACAAATAGATGAATAATGGGAGGAACTGTGACCATGACCGTTTATTTTCCTTCTTTTGAGAACAGGATTTTTTTTACTGAGGTGCTCCATTCCTGCTCACTCTTGTTCTTCCTCCATACTTCCTACCCAGTTCACACTACCCCCAGAGCACACTCTTTTATAGCTACATGAACTTTGATGCAAATGTCTGAGGATTGTGATCGTTAAAACTGCGAAGAAATAGAATGCAGGAGAGAGGGCAGTGCAATGCAGTGTGAGTCCCTCACCCCTGCTTAGACTCCAGGCAGGGGACTGGAGAATATGCCATGACCAAAGTGTCACACTACCCCAGTATGAAGAATAATGGCTACATTCTATTTTTTTCTACTCAACGGATCCCTTGTTGATTTATAAACATGCATAAGAATTCATGTTGATTGTAATTTCATCTTTCAGATCTTCAACTAAGGGTGGGGAAAAGTTAGTGACGTATTAGGTTTCAGAATGGGTGGAATCAATAATATTAGGGTCTGAATCATGTTTGGCTTCCTGTCCTTAGTGAGTCATTTCTCAATTTCACCATTTTTTTGAGGCAGAAAAATCAGTATATGCTCTTCTAGTTCAAAGATACTCAAGTGGGATAATATATCCCAAACCACCCTGTCTGTATAGGGTATGGCTCTAATAAGTTTTACTGCGACTCTAATGAGGGCTGACTTTCAACTTTTAGAATTGGTTCAAAAATATCAGAATTTACTATTATTCTAGTAAAAGAATACTTTTCATAATTCCCAAACTGATTAATTTTGAGGAGCATTGTTGAGGAACATTGTGTCTGAGGATACTATCTTCCAAAATAAATTCCCTTTCTTCCTATCTGGGCTCTGAACAAGCCAAGAAGTAAAGAAATAAAGAGAAAGATTGTATTACTGATACTGGTAGCATTGTAGCACTCACTGTAGCATTGTCCTCCTGTTGTTCAACGAATTGCTCGAGCGGGCCCAGTAATGTCTCCATTGTGAGACTTGTTGTTAATGTGTTTGGCATATCGAATACATCACGGGTAGCTTGCCAGGCTTTGCCGTGCGGGGGAGATACTCTCGGTAACTTGCCGGGCTTTCAGAGAGGGGTGGAGGAATCGAACCTGACTCGGCAGGGCCTGTGCTACCAGAAAATCTAGAATATTTATTGGGGCAGTGGTGCATGTGGGTGTGGTTGCCAGGGATTCCAGATATGGGAATGGGGGGAAGTTTCCCACCATTAGTCTGAAAGGTTCTGGAGTTTTCAGCCAAAAAAATCTAGTGTTTGTAAGTCTA